AATTACAAGTTAAAAAGGGCATGGACATTTCTCTTTTTTTTTTTTGTATTGAAAATATATCGAACCGTGAGACTAAAGTATTGAACCGAGTGGTGAATTTTCTGTATCGTTGCACCCCTAACTCTTGAGTGCAAAGTATTCTATGTTACAGATGGAAATGTCGGAGGCGACGTCCCGCCGCATAAGAGCCATCTTTAACACCTTCAACTTCTGGTGCATCGTGCTGTACAACTCTGTGGCTTTGAACGGTTTGGACTTTGCCAAGCTGGTTGCCAAACGGCTCCTCCTGAAAGGTGAGTTTCAGTTTTGCCCAATAAAGTTTACATCAACAGTGTCTGAATGCTCCTCTCCACCCCACAGGTTTYCCTGTAACCACCGTCACGGTTCTGTTCGTGACCTACTGTCTGGTTCAAGTRATCAAGGAGAGCGAGAGGAGGCAGGCCCTCATCGAAGACCCCSACCCTGTTCCTCCAGACGCTGCGACCACCAGTCCACCCACTGCTGCCGCTGCACCCGCAGAGGTGCAGCCAGAGTCAGAAACCAACAAACAAAAAGCAGAGTAGATATTTGACTACAGTGAGAGCAAACAGTTGTAGCCCAATTACCTTTTATAACAAACAATTTTCAAAAACTCACACTGTGAATAAATGCAATATTTATGCCTAAAGTATCATTTGTATCTTTTATGCTAATATTTTATGTGATCTATTTAGTGATGGGAACAGCTAACCAAAAAATTTAGCTTTGCAAATCACCAATCCACTAACTAAAAAAAATTAGCTTTGCCAACGTTAAACCATTAAACAGGTAAGAAAAWTAGAGGAAGCTAACGCTAACCRCTAAMTGAATATTTGTTATTTAAACAACATAAACGTGGTACCCAAAAAAACATAAATCCTGGCTAAAGGCTCATAAAAACTACCTCTATATTCACCAAACAATTAAAACAAGCAAATTAACACAGTGATATAAACTGTTTGTGAGCAGACTTAAAGTTAGCATATTTAGCAGAAGCTTTTCCCTAAGTTAGCAAAAAATGCTAATCTGCTAACAGCTAATAGTGAAGCTAACTTTGTTTAGCTGAACTTGCCCACCACGACATCTGTTTACTGTCCTGGAAGCAACTGAAATTATTTAAACTTTCTTTCAACGCTTGATCTTAATTAATKAAATGAATAAAGATTTGTTCAGATCATTATGTTTAGTAAATTTTTAGAAAAAGCAACAAATTTTATTAAAAATGAACAAAATATATAGCGGGTAAAATAAGCATTAAACACGTCAACATTTTTCTCAGTAAATATATTACTAGAGGTGCTAATGACATGAAATTTTCACCAGATGTCGGTAACAACCCAAGTGATCCATACATACAAAGAAATCAAACCATAAATGTCCAGAAATGAAGCCAGGTGATGTGAGTGGGAGTCACCTGTGAACGATGGTCATGTGATGTGAGTATC